CTCTATGTCTGACTTCTAACATGTTAATGGCAACTAAAATTGTGTTTTTAAAAATCCTTCTCCTAGGGGCCAGCCCCATGGCCTAGTGGTTAAGTTTGGCGCGCTCTGCTTTGGCGGCCCAAGTTTGGCTCCCAGGCGTGGACCTACACTACTCAGCAGCAGCCATGCTGTGGCGGCAACCCACATACAAAATAGAGGAAGTTTGACACAGATGTTAGCTCAGGGCGAATCTTCCTTAGGAAAAAAAAAATCCTTTTCCTTAGGGAAAGCCTGATATTCAAGACTGTTGTCTTGCTATAGATCCAAAATTCTTGCTAGATGTCAAACTATAGACTCCTCTTTTCTTATTTTATCTTGTAACAGTCCTAATACTCCTTGAGGCAAGTGCTACCCCTGACAGAAAGGTGAAGTCAAACAAAGAGAAATGCAAAAGCATTGCACATGGGAGAAATTCCAAATATTAGCATCCTTGTGGTATGATGGCCTATCAGCTCTCTCGTATTCCTTTGTCTTCTGCCTCTTTCCTATCTGACATACTAGTTTGTTCAAATGTTCTTTAGATTTTATGTGGTGACAATAAGGACTTGTTATGCAATTTCTATCATAGGAAATGGTAAAATATTTATGCCACATAAGTTAGCTCTGTAATCTTACTTAATAGATATTTAATACATAGCAAGTGGGTAGGTACTTACTAGAAACCTCCTTCCTATGTGCTGCACATTGAATTAAGGTTAGGAGAGAGACACAAGATACAATAACTGTCCTTGAGGAACTTAAAATATAGTTGGGGAGACATGACAGCACAAGACAACTCAGGAAAGCAATATAAATTGTAGACATTGACTATAATTGCTATCCAAGGTCAGAGAATGATAAAATCAACAGAGTCCAAAGTACCTGGGGATCACTTTGTGGAGAGGTTGGCATTAAAGCTTTGACAGGGCAGTAAATTTGGAAGGTGCTGAAAAGTAAGAATTGAAGCACACCAGAAGGAATAGACATGGAGAATGGAACTGGGAGAGAACAACATGGAAGCCATTAGGCACTCTACCTGACTGAAGAGGAGAGATTATATTGAAGAACAATGTAAAATTCAGGGAATGCACAGGAAACTTAAAAAAAAATAATATATCTAGTAGACATAGTATATAATTTTTAGGTGCTTCTCCTATGGGTCTCTTAAAGCTCAAATTGTGAAAACTAATATCACAGGATGTAAAATTGGAAAATTTTGACCCTTAAGGCAGGAGCTATCAGACACCAAAGTGATTTATGAAATAGATCACCTTGTAGAAATTCCCTAGTAGGAGCATGAAAACTGATTGGATGACTCCCACATTCCTAATCCAAAAGGGGTGGCAGATTTGGAGATTAAGGGTAGATTTCTTTGGAGTGAATTTAGGGTCCATTAGGAATGTCCACCAAGAGGTAGGTTGTGGGGTGTTTCCTCTTTTCCACTCTCAGTAGTAGAAAGAGGTGCTTCAAGGAGACATGGTGAAAGTTTAATATGTGTCCCTTGAAGTTTTGGGGGTGTTGGAGGAGACAATGGACTGGTTTCTGATGAACCTAAAGGCCAAGAGATGAGCTAGTGAGCAGTTTATGTAGAGGTGCTAAAATGGGATTAGCCTATTTTCCCAGGGTTTGTTAGAAACTCCCCTATGGAACAGATGTGGGCCGTGAATGTGAGAGAACAGTTATGAGGCTGTCTAGGTCCTGTCCCATAAGGCTGCCCAGGGACTGAACTGGTCTCAGCCTCTAGGAGCTGCAGGTGTCACTTGGAGCTGTGAACGTAGTGAGTGATAAAGTGAGACCGTATGACTCACATCAAGGGTAGTCCAGATGAAATGTCCCCAGTGATTGGGGAAGGGAGAGCAATCACTGAAAAACCTGGAAAAGCATCCACTTGTTAAGAATCATCTTTAAATAAATACCAGGCTTCTCAGCTCAGTGACCAGAAAGTAAGCATTCCTTCTCCATTTACCTCTTCTTTCCCCACTTTCCTGCTTTCACACCACTCCCATCTTCCAGAGACATTGGAACCAAGGTTACCTGGCTTGGGAGCAAGGACCTTGGGAAAAAATATGGAACCAGCATATCCCTACTCATTGGCTGTTGGTTTCCACTTGCAGCAGACCCTAGCTGTGGAGGGGAGACAATTTAAACTTTAAATTAGCTTTTTATATGTAGCTGGGTATTCTAATTTCTAAATTGAGAGTATATTTGGTGACTTTATGTAACTATAAGATTGTTTTAAGTTCCAATTGATCAGGGTATGGGTAAGGGCCTAATTCTTCTTGGCTCAAAAGATTGGTTTCCTAGGGCTGCCCTAACAAATCACCACAAACTGGGTGGCTTAGAGCAAGAGAAATTTATTCTCTCACAGTTTTGGAGGCTAGAAGTCCAAAATCAGAGTGTCAACAGAGCCAGGTTCTCTCTGAAAGCTCTAGGGGAGAATCTGTTCCATGACTTTCTCTTAGCTTCTGGTGTTGCTGCAAATCCTTGGCATTCCTTTGCTTGTTGATGCATCACTCCAATCTCTGCCTCCCTAGTCACGTGGTGATCTCCCTCTGTGTGCCTCTGTCCTCATGTGGCTTTCTCCTTTCTATGTGTCTATCTTTGTGTCTCATCTTATAAGGACACTAATCGTATTGGATTAAGAGTCCACCCTATTCATATAACATCATCTTAACTTACATTTTAGTTACAACTGGAAGGACTCCATTTCTAAATAAGGTCACATTCATAGGTACTAGGGTGGGACTTCAACACATCTTTAGGGAGACACAATTCAACCCACAACAGATGTTATACAATTGGTCTGCTTGATGCCAGCACCTTGGAGCTGGGGGCTGTTGTTGGTGTGAATCAAAGTCTGTTCCTAGTTTCTTTATGTCTAATCATATATGCTGTACTCTTTCAAAATATACAGTCTGAGGTTTTGAGTCTGAAACAGTTTTTCTTAACCTGTCCCTATCAGGAATGCAGCTACTGGAAATGTCTCTTTGTATTTTGTCCACTTTCTCCCAGTGCTGTTACCAGTGTTTCTCTTCTGTGACATACTCTGAGCATTTTAATGAGAGGTTGAGATGGGCATTGCAAGTCAGCCTCATGTTAATCTGGTCTCCATGTTTTTTTACAATTCCAGTTCTTCGTAGGCATTGTCCCAGCTCCCTGGAAAGACATATCCCTACTTACCTGCCTGCCAGACTTAGTCTTTCAAAGTCCTTCTCTTTGGTGAAATTTTCTTAGACCAAACAAGACTGATTGTCAGCCCGCCTGCACCAGTTCAGCCATTCTGACTGATGTTTTTAAAGATTATGTTTTAAATCTCCTTTTCTTGACTGCAGAATACTCTTTCAATACCTTCTGTTGCTTTAATACATTATATATTGTTTAATGATGTTATTTATACCAATTACTTGAAAAAATTGCCTAAAATGTGTTTTCTCCACTAAACTGTGTTTTTCTTTAGTCTCTTTTTGTTTATTGTGGTTTCTCTAAAGTCTGTCCAGACCTTGGCTTGCAGTAGGAGCTCACTAGGTGTTTTCTGAATTGGATTGAGTGTTCACAAGAATAGACATGGGCCAGTTGCTTTAAGAGAATCTTGAAATATATCACAGTTTCTTGGAGGGCTTCTTTAACCTAAAATCCTCAGCAAAATCAAGGGGAGCCACTGTAGTGGAGTGATTGACAGCCTACTCATCTTCTTGACATGCTATTCAATCTTTTCCCTCCACCTGCCCAAAGACCTGAAATGACTTTTTATTTCCTTTGTCATCACAGAGTCTGATTAATAAATAGGCAGATGAGATAACATACAGCGTGATATGATTTTAATCATTCTACCACGTGGCTCACTAGGGCAGTAATTTTCAGTGGGGTAGCAAGATTTTTTTTAAAAAGAACAATGATAGTAATAGTAATAATGATGCTGATAATTATATTAGCTAATATTCGTTAGTTCTGTGTCCTTTAAATGTATTTATCTCACTTATTTATCCTATCAGCTCTATGGAGTAGAAAGAGTTATCAGTCTGATATTACAGATGAAAAATGAAGGCTCACAGAGCTTAATTTACTTGCCCAAGCTCACCCAGCTAGTAAGATGTGGTGATTGCTGTTATATGACTATTCTTATAATGACTATTATAGTCAATTAATCAATGTTGCTTTTAACTGTTAACATTTCTTCAAATAACTTTCTTAATGGGTGAATTTAAAATTCTTACCTATCTCTGTGACAGTCCTCTCTGGAAAGCTATTTCTCAGACTTGAATTTCTTATCCTCCAATCTGAACATTCAGATAATGATACAATAAAGTTTTTTATGGGCTACTCCTCAAGATTGTTATATGCTAAGGGAGGGAATGAGATATATTTTCATAACTTTTGACTTCTATAAAGTACTTTCCTCTTCGTTGCAGCATAGAAAAGCTCTGAAATTGCATCTCATAAGGAGGGTAATCTGCACTTATTTACAGAGTCATCCCACAATATCTCATTTTATCACTTTTGTGGAAAGACAGAGTAGGAAAACACCCAAACTTTCATGAATATTTTAAAACCCGTACTCACTGGGGGAGGGAGGAAAGTAAATTTAGATAATTGCAAATTCCATTTCAGTCAGTTGTATTCCAAGTAAATGTTCTGTCCCAACATGGCTTACATCTTATCTCTTGAAATGATAGAAGCTGATGCTTTTCCTTGCTCGAGTGCTGGTTTTGTTCCCATGTGAGAAAAAAGAGAGAAGCAAAGAAAACAGGTCTCAATACCTGCCACAGTCACCCATGTTCTCAGCTCCAGGGGAGAGGGGACTTCTGGGGAAGTTATTTGGCATTTAAAGCAAATGGTTCCCAAGGCAGCTGCTGAATGGAGCTGGATATTTTGTTAAATGATTTTCCTCTCTGACCTTTATTACTAATGAATCTTCTTTAAGAAGTATTTAAAGAGTAAAAAGAAAGGTTGTTTTTATTAATCTCTTTTCTTTTTGCCCACAGAACTCAAAGAAATGGTGTTACCTGGCAATAGATCTGCTGTCTTTTATGAAAAATCAGGCCAAGGTAATGCTTATTTTGAATTGATACATTTTTTAGTCTGTTTAACTCTGTTACATTAAACTAGTTGGCTTTCCTTGATTACTGGTTTTGGCTGTTGAATAACCTATCAAAAAAGTAAATCATTATCTGAAAAGTAGAGGGAATGATTTACGATGATTACCATATTTATGAAGTGAACAATAAATTTTAAAATATATGTTAGCTTATCATAACATTGTGGATAATCGTCAATTTGCTGACATTACTTTTTCTTTTATGTTAATACCTGAATAAGATCCTGACTAGAAGATTGTATTCTCTTTGTTTGGAAATGACTCCAATTAGTATATCATATTTACAAATGATATACAGTAAGAGAATTAGATTCTTGTCAGCGTACAGTGATGAGATTTTCCTTTTATTTAAACATTAGTCAGATAGCTTTACATGTTACTTTTTGAATATGCAAAAAATTTCAGTGGAAATTCCTAGAAAACTTGGAGTTTCATGAAGACCCCCTCACACAAAATATATTTTCTTTGGAAAGACTGAATTATGTCATACAGTTGTTGAATAGCATGCCTGATTATGTTCAACAGATTGCATATGTAGTTACTAAATTTTCAGATTGCTATATGATTTATTTTCATATGTTGGCCCAAGAATATGAATATTCATGTAAGTATTCTGATGACATATATGTATAAACAAAGTGTGAATATAGATGCAGATATACAATATGTGTATATTTTATGAACAAAACTGCTATCTCAAAAGAAGTTTTTATAGAAAAGTTTCTGAAAGGTCAGAATCGTGATGGGAACTGGACTCATCTATCAACTTCTAGTTGTATGTATAGGAACACATATAACAGATTTAGGTGAAATGTCTATTAGGCTGCATACTAACTGGAATTAATTGGGTTTTATTTTTGACAAATTGTTGAATTCCCAAAAACAAAAGAATGCTGAAACAAAGGTAGCATTTAAATGTAATGGGCATCAGCAGATAATTTGTTTCTGAACTTTAATTTGCAGTTAAGTAAAAATAAATTGTTAGGTTGAATTACACATTGGGGTGTTTCTACTTATTTCTGGCTTTCAGTTAGTTCTTCAAAGGAGGTGTAAACCCCTTAAGGAGGCAGCTTCTCTTCCCTAAAGGGGATTTTGAATTGTAGGCACGCTGTTCAAGTTTTATCTATACTAAAATGTTAATTCAAACTACAAAATATTTTTCAATGCTTAATGACATCAACTGACGGTTGCTTTTTGCATAGAACTATTAACTGTGACCCCCAAAAAGAGTCATTATAATGAGAACTAATACAGACGATATGTGGAAGAGGTTGAAGCCGAGCTATGTGATATAGGCATATAGAGAGATAAGTAGTAGAACAGTGCTGGTTGAGGGAGAATTGATGGAAGATGACACAGTAAAGAGAAAGAAACACACTGAATGAGATGAAGCCAATGAAGGGGCTCAAGGATCCATGCCCTTTAGAATAAAAATAAAGAATGAAGGGAGCACAGACTATCCAGGATGCATTCATGTGAAATTTTTCTTCTTTCAGGGGTTTGTATATACTAATATATTCAATTTTATTAGGCTTTTATTTTATTTATTTAAGATATGGACAACCTTGCTTTGAACTGAATGTAGGAAAGGAAGAGTTGGGATGGATGAAGGGAAGTTTCCATTGACATGGTAGGATTTCCAGCATTGTGTCCCCAGAGTAATGAAATTTGCTTCTTCCCAAAATGAGAATTAAGGAACAGTTCTGTATTTTGCCAGAGTCCAAGTGCTTTGGTCTGATAAAACTCCCAAAGAGGTTATGCTCTGAGAGGTATGCATTTGTGTGGAGGTTGGGAGTGGGGTGTGGAGGAGTAACTTGAGGTGGGAGAAATGGCATTCATGTCATCATCTGTCTGGGTTGGTCCTTTGGATTTGTTGAAATAGGGGTGTTTGCAATCTTAGAAAAAATTCCTGTTAATAAGACAAAGAGTGTTAATGTATTGATGCTCTGTCTCGATTGTCACGGATGGGATATGTAGACTTAAACTTCTATTCAAACACTGAAATTTAAGACATACTAGTGAAGGTGCTATTTTTAGACAAATGGGGCCGTTCAGCTTTTCTCAGTTGCACATGACAACTAACACACTCATTTTGTGTAGGATTAACTCTGGCAATGGAACTCAGAGAGCAATCTATTGGATTAACAGGCAATTTTGTGTGCAGTTACCTAAAAGTTCTACATTTGACTCTTTTAATAGGAGTATTTAAATAACTTTTTATGTAGTGTTTTATTATGGAAAGTTATTTGTGTCTATGAGTCACAATATTCTTAATTTTGTCATCCAAAGAGAGAGGCAACTTCAACTAGTCAGGTCAAAATGTCCTTGTATATACCTAGTAAGATTATGTATAAAAGTAGAGACTGTTATTCTTTCCATTTTTACATAGGTTTGTATGTCATGAAAATAGATTGAATTTCAATTAAGAAAATTTCACATCTGTAATTTATTTTTATTATGTAGCAATAATAAGTTTTATTCTTACACATATTTAACTTTTTCTGTAGGAAATTGAAGTGGGATATTAAGGATTCAGCAATTTTTTGATGTATTCGAGGTTGAAATCTAGGCTTAGTATAAACACAATTTTGAGAATTGAAAATAAACTGTCATGAGGCTAGAGTATAATATTATTTATGTTCAAGAGCACTAAGATGTAAGTTATAAATTTATTGTTTAGAGATTTGTTTCATTGTGGTTTATTGTTACTGGCTGTAAAAAATACAGCAGATGTAATACACATTGAGATTTAAAAGGATAAAAATCTCGTATTTTAAGAGGTTACTACAAATTGTATTTTATATTATTTAATACATACCTACTATAAAGTTACAATGGAAGGTAAAGCATCAAAACTTGCAGGCTGATTAAAACATTAATGACCATGAATTTAAATGAGAGAAATACTTCTACGGCACGTGATGAAAGGCGTGATGTAACTGTCAGATTGCCTGAATTAGATTCTATGTATGATATATACAAGGCTTTACAGAATTATAGCTATGACATCAGGCAAAGCATGCTACCGAAGCGTACTTAAACTGTAAGTCAGAGCATAAATCATTGAACATTTTCGTAGAGTAGTGATTAAAAAGTAATTCTTAAAGATAATTTACATGAGAAAGAGCTATTATGATAATTTCACAGAACTTGCCTTTTTTGGTTTTTATGATTTTTGTCATTTGCAAAAGTTCTTGGTATTCTTCACTCTTCTGAGTATTAGATTCTGTGGGATACTCCGTCTTTTAAAATCTTTTTAAAAAACTCCGAAGACTATAAGCCATAGCATTGTTGACTCCTGCTAATATTCAAGTTTTCCATCTATTTCCCACCTATGTTTCTTACCTTATTTGTTTCTCTCTTACTGCACTACATATCCTAAACGTTCTTGTCTTTCCTTGTGCTGAAAACTCCACTCTGAATGCCCAACGTTCTTTCTCTCTTATTCCTCTACATAGTAGAGAACTATATAGTAGTTCTCCTGTGTGCAGGTGTGTATGTGTGACTATATGTGTGTGTGAACATGTATATAATTTTATTTTATTATGTATGAAGGTCCACATACGGACATGGGATTTTTTTCCTTCAGTATGATTGTAAAGAAGATCCTTCTGCCATTCACTTTTACTCCCACTTGTGAGTGAAGTAGACAAACTTTGAATGAATGAGTTCCTTGCATCTCTAGGATTTCCACCAAAGAAATATTTAAAAGGCTAAAGGTTCCTTTGTGCTATGAGAGTTATAATTTAGCTATGTTTTTTACTAATTAGAATTCCTTTGAGAACCTACTCTCCTTTTATCACATCTTTTCACTGAGAATAAAATCTAGACTCTAATATACTAATGTATAAAGCAAATAATTTTCAACTATTGAAACACACTCTCTTCGCCAAGGGAAGATTGCCTAATTCTAACACCCATTGGTTTTGTGCCACTTTGCGCATGCCATTGGAGAAAAATCTAACCTGAGCTACTCAACAAAGGCACTGTTGCCGAAGAGCAAAGCACTGCCTTATGAGGACACTCCCTGTTGCATGTCTTACATCAGAATCAAAAGGAAAAAAAATTACAGTGTAATTTGCCACCTCATTCATTCATCAATTCAGTATTTACCTGCTATAGTCATAAATGCTTCAGCTAGAGTGGGGGTACATGCAGAACTTGAGAGTCTTTCTCTCTTGTTACACACACACACACACACACACACACACACCCCTTACATACATACATATAGAGGCTACAAAATAAATTCTTTTTTTCCTGTAGAAGTTATCTCCATGCTCCTCTTCATTTTTCACAAGTTCTATTTCTTCTATGTTTTTCTCTACATTGTTATTCATGTGGATGGCTGGAAGCCATCAAAGCAGTCGCTGATAGCTATTTTTATGTTTTCAGTAATTGTTGAATCTCATACCTAGGAATTTTGTGGCCATTATGAATGTGTGTGTGCATTTGTGGATATGCAGTCTGAAATAACGTATTCCCAGTAGAGTCTTTTTAGGCTAGGACCCTAAAAGTGCCTAAATGCTATGTGGGCGAGGTTGGGGAAGAGCTATGGTTATCTGGGAAGTTGAAATGGAATTAGGACTGTTGGGGTTGGGCCAGGGCCTTTGGGAATTGGGGCTCCCAGTGAATTGACATTTCCCAGTAGAGGACTAAGGACTTTGAGGGAATTGGTTCCTTTATGGCTTTAACGGATGTGCTAGTTTTCATGTCTTCAGTTTTGCAGTACTGGCATTACTTTGGAAAGGGAAGCGAATCATTGGAGGCAGAGTGGTGTGGGCAGAGGCAAATAATTTATAACATGAGATGTCCACCAGACTTTGCAAGTGCACATATATGTATGTTTGTCCCTTTCTCTCTCTATATCTATACTTTTACTGCATTTGGCATTTTAAAAATTACGCCACTAGATGTCAGCAACAACCTCCTAGGGTTCCTGGGGCCTTA